GCACGTGGAGGACAGGACCCGGCATTGGACTCACCTCCTCCCCCTCCGTCCCCCACAGACTGGGCGTGTGGTGCTCGGGGGACCAGGGAGCTATTTCTGGCAAGGTAAGTCCTTCCTGTGCCATCCCCTGCCCCTAACCCCCCACACACACACCCGACACACACACCCCTGAAATATCCAGCCCCTCCCTCCCCTGCGTCCTCAGACCCCACCCCAAAACCAAAAGCCACATTCACTGCCATGGAGTCCATGCCGACCCATAGTGACCCTCTAGGACAGGATCCACCCTGGGAGTTTCTGAGACTGTAACTGTTGCTGCAGTAAAAAGCCCTGCTTTTCTCCCAAGGAGCGACTAGTGTTTTCAAAGTGCCAGCTGTGCAAATGGCAGCATAGCGCTAACCGCGCTCTCCCACCTGGGCTCCTGGCAGCTTCCACCCCTGTTCCCCTTTTCCTCTCCTGAGGTTGGCCTGCCCTGTTCTACCACCTTGCACTCATTTCCCTCCCTTGAAGCAGACTTCTGAAATCCTATGAGCCCCACCCTAATGCCCTCCTTCCCACCCCACGCTGTATCCATCCCCTGCACCTTGGCTTCCCCAGGCCAGATCCTGTCTGCCACCCAGGAACAGATTGCAGCCTCCTACTACCCCGAATACCTGATCAACCTGGTTCAGGGGCAGCTGCAGACTCGCCAGGCCAGTTCCATCTACGATGACAGCTACCTGGGTGAGTGAGGTGCCGTCCTACGTACCCCCGTGCCACCCGCCCTTCTCCCATGGGGCACCCCATCCTCTCCGCCATGCTGGATGGCAGGCTGATGGGGAGGGCCCAATAGTGGTGGGGAGATAATGGGGAGATGGGCCAAGGCTGCGAGATCCCCCAACTAGGGAGCCTAACACCCACCTCCTCTGCCGGCCCCCAGGATACTCTGTGGCTGTGGGGGAATTCAGCGGTGATGACACAGAAGGTGAGTGCATCCCCCCCAACTGGGGCCAAGGGGCCGGGAGGCTCAAGAACTGAGAGGTCCGGCTCCCACTGGGCAGTGTCTTATTCTGTCATGCATAAGGTC